CCCGCCCCCCGCCAGTAGCTTCAGAAAACTGCACCCTGTTCCTCTCAAATGTTGAGACCAGCCGGTCAGTGGCTGAGCCTCGAGCCTGTCCGTGAAGTGGGGCGGGGATGACACGCCTCTTCCTCCCTCGGTCCTTAGGAAAGGGAGCTGGAGCTGCAGAAGGAGCAGCGCCGGCAGGAGGAGAATGACAAGCTGCGCCAGGAGTTCGCCCAGCACGCCAACGCCTTCCACCAGTGGATCCAGGAGACCAGGTGCGGCCCCGGGAGTGCTCGGTCCTGGGGGCTGAATGCCCAGGCCTCGGGCTCCAGAGTATGGAAAGAAGGGTTAGGAGCGCAGCCTGGTCTGGCTGGAGCCAGAGGGGGTGGGCAGAGTTGGGAGGGTTCTCGAAGGAACTTCTCCAGAGGTGGAGTCGCTGGATGTCCTGGATTGGGTGGGACTGAGCGTGGCCCATGGTTGTCCTGCACAGCGACAGTGGTAGGGGTACAGGGCTGAGCGCACCATGGGTACTGATGACCTTGGTTTTGTTTTTCTTTTCTTTCTTTGTGTCTGCCTCTGTCCCCCACCTCGCGATGCTGCTGTCCGGACACCACCTTGTCTTGTGGCTGCTTGGATCCCATCTCCACAGAACGTATCTCCTCGATGGGTTAATATTGACTTCTTATTTCTCCGGGCTTACGGTGTGGTGGTGTCTAGTGTGCTTGTCCCTCTGCCCTTTGTCCCCTCGTGGCCTGGCTTGCAGAGGATCCCAGAAAGGACCTTCCCGCCTGGGACAGGCTGCACGTCCCCCGCCCTACCCTCGCCGCCTTCCCTGGCACCCGTGGCCCACTGCCCCTGACGGCCTGCAGTCTGGGGAGGGGAGCCGCTCCCACCTTCCTGTTCAGATTCCAAGGGTTCTCAAGATGGTGCCAGAAGGCCAGAGTTGGAGTCCAAAGCCTCTGAGAATCCCCATATGCTTATTCAGCCATTGGGATTATACTGGACCTCTTTTCTGCCTTGTTCCCCCCACGTGTCAGTTGGGATCATGTTTAGTGCCTAGGTGGTCATGGGCGTGAAATAGGATGACATTGTTGAGGGGCTCCAGCTGGTGCACTAAGTCCCCGTCTGTGCACTGATCCCTCCTCCCCCAGTGCCCACACAGAGGGCTGAGGCTGTCTTTTGCCTCAGGAGGAAGCCCAGGGTGCTCAGGGTTTCTGGGTGATGGAGACACACAGGACTTGGGAGGAGCCCCGAGAGGAGCAGGGCCGTCCTGCCCGGTGCCAGTGGGGGCCTCCCCCAGGAGGCCTTGCCCCCTGCCCGGATCGGGCACCCTTGCATTCTCTCCCGGGACCATGGTGGCTTAGACTAGAGCTCCCGAGGCCCTGCAGGCAGGCACGTCAGGCGTTAATGGAGGCAGCAGGAGGAGTGTCACCCACACTCAACGCAAGCACACGCTGAAGGCGGAGCGGGGCGGGATGCAGGGGTCACAGGTTCGGCTCGAGCTCATAAGCTGCCCTGGGGTCCCTTCTCCCCGGTGCACGAGGTGCCATGCTCCCCTTACCACGTGGCTCCTCCCAGCCCTGTCCCGTCTTGCCCGGTCCCCACGCGAGCTGCCCAAGGCTGCCTGCCCTCCCAGGCCGGCTGTCGGCTTGGCCTCTACCACGTCCCTGCCTGGGCGCCAGGTGGCCCTGCCTGTGCACTGACCAGCTTGGGCCTTGTGGTGTGTGTCTGTCTCGGTGTGCTCTTGCCTCCCCTTCCGCTGGTGTATTCATTTGGTTTCTTTTCTTTGAATAGCATAGCGTATCGTCGGGTCATTCGTGTCTATCAGTATGAAGTTGGGGATGATCTGTCTGGAAGGTTTTTCTCCTGTTTCTCTTCTTACCTCGCTGTGGTTTTACCAGTGCACTCTTGACTTCCCCAGGCGGCTCTGCTTTCTGACTAACCCACCGCCCGTGGCCGCATGGGAAGGAGGGGTCTGCCCTCCTCCCACTGCACCAGCACCCGGCCTCCTGCCCCCAGCTCCTGGGGGTGTGCTTTTCCTGGGGGGACATGGCGTGACTGTGAGTCTGACCTGCTGGGGTAGGAGGAAGCCTGGTGCCTTGCCTTGCTAGAGCACTTTGAACCTAGGGAGATTTCACAGCTAACGCTGGCTCGCTGGGTGTGGAAAGGGTAGGTTGGGGCAAAGGTGGGTACAGGGGAGGCCGGGCTAAAACCCCACCCAGGACACGCGCACAGTGTGACTCATCCCTGCACGTAACCTCATTTGTCTTCGTTCACTGGTAGCCTCTGTGACCTCACACTGTTGTCGGGTAGATAGATAGAGGCTCCCCAGAGGCCCCCTGCTCCTCAGAAATTAGCCCCCGGAAGGAGCCTCTGGCGCTGTGTCTGTAGATGATAGAACCTGAATCTGGGGCTTAGTCACGGCCACCTCTCCTTTGGGCAGGACCAAACCCAAATCTGGTCATGATCTTCACACCCCAGTTCCCATGTCAAGGGGTCATCTGACTGCCTCTCCTCCCATTGCTGTCACTCATCCTAGAGTGTGGCTCCCCTCAGGAGCCTGCAGGAGACTCCAGGACTTCTCGGGGTGGCTGCCAGCCTTCCCTCACCTTCAGGTCTCCTGCCTGAAGGGTTGCACAGGCGTCCTCCCCCTGGTTGCAGAGGAAGCACGCGGCCGGGCCTGCAGCCCCTCTCTGTTCCCGTGGAGGAACTTAAATATCAGTTCCTGAGGTACCCTTCAAGGGCCTAGCTTGGATCAGGTACCATGCTACAGCCTGGGTGGGCCTAAGGAGCCAGCCACATGAGAAGGGGTCCCAGCTGGGGAGCGGGGAGCAGGCCGGATGGGGCTCAGCCCTGGCTTATCTGTTGGCCTTAGCAGGTGGCACACATCAGGCAGCAGCTCCCCAGAAGTATACTGGAGAAGCATTACCTGCCCTCCCTGGCTCCCAGAGCTGCTTAAGAAAAGACAGCCAGTAGCAGATAGGCTTCATATCCTAATAAGAGGAATTTGAGACTGCAGGCACTTTTATCTGAGGGAAGTTAATTTCGAGCTGGCAATCGGGCCTCCTGCCTCACTGTGCTTCTGTGTTTAGGTCCTGCATGGTGGAAGAATCCGGGACCCTCGAATCCCAGCTTGAAGCTACCAAAGTAAGTGCCCTTAGTGTTTCTGGCCTGGCTAAAACCCTTCATCCCACCACTGCCAGCAGGCCTACTTGGCTTCAGGTTGGGTACAGGGTGGGCCGGTCAGGTGCCCCCTTTCCCCAAAGCAGCCCAGGACCTCCGTCATTTTAAAGAGTTTTTTGTCTTTGACAGTTGCTACCAGGAGCCCTACTGGGAAGGGAGGAGGCTCCTTTGGTCCTCAGTACTTACACTGTTTCCCTGGCAGGTCAACCCACTGACTTGTGACTGTCACACTGACGCCTCTTCCTCTGCTGAGGCTGCTGGATTTCTTCAACCTCACCCCATCCCCACTTTCCCCTTGCAGGCAGCCCTGCAGGTCTCAGGCTGCAGGCGCGGAGACCGAGGAGGGCTGTTTAAGCAGGCTCTCGGGCCCGGTAACCGAGGCAAGAGCCCCTGTCCCACGGATCTTTGCTCCCTCACCCCCGCAGCGCAAGCACCAGGAGATTCGAGCCATGAGAAGTCAGCTCAAGAAGATTGAGGACCTGGGGGCGGCTATGGAGGAAGCCCTGATCCTGGACAACAAGTACACAGAGCACAGCACCGTGGGCCTGGCCCAGCAGTGGGACCAGCTCGACCAGCTGGGCATGCGCATGCAGCACAACCTGGAGCAGCAGATCCAGGCCAGGTACCTGCAGCTTCCCCGGGTGGGCACAGCAGCAGCAGGGGCCATGGGAAGCAGGGTCGCCCCCACGTCCAGCAGTCAGTTTACTGGGAGAGGACAGAACATGTCACCAGCTGTATGGGGTGGAGTATCCGGTCCCTAATTCTGTTCTTTCTTCCAGGAACACGACCGGGGTGACCGAGGAGGCCCTCAAAGAATTCAGCATGATGTTTAAGTGAGTATATGCGTTGCGCCCTTCCTGGCGGGGGAGGCGGGCTCAGCAGCAGGGCCTCTGTGCTGAGCCCTCGGCCTTGTGCCACAGACACTTTGACAAGGACAAGTCTGGCCGGCTGAACCACCAGGAGTTCAAGTCCTGCCTGCGCTCCCTGGGCTATGACCTGCCCATGGTGGAGGAAGGGGAGCCTGACCCCGAGTTCGAGGCCATCCTGGACACTGTGGATCCAAACAGGTAAGCATCAGGGAACGTGGGAGAAGCAGCCCTGCACGCGGCTCCTACCGCACCCTCCCTGCTCACTGCACCTTGGCCCCCCAGGGACGGCCACGTCTCCCTGCAAGAGTACATGGCCTTCATGATCAGCCGTGAGACCGAGAACGTCAAGTCCAGTGAGGAGATCGAGAGCGCCTTCCGGGCCCTGAGCTCCGAAGGGAAGCCTTATGTGACCAAGGAGGAGCTGTACCAGGTCTGGGGCTCTGCTTCCCTAGCTTGGGGTGGGGGTGAGGGGTTCCTGAAAAGTGAAGCCCAGGCAAGGTTGCCCCCCCCCCCACCTTGGTTAGGGGCAGAGCCGAGTCTAGAGTAACACACCCCGGTTTTGGGCGTTAGCTGCTGGGTGCAGGCATTTTTATCCCCACTTTCAAATGAAACTCAGTCCAGGCTAAAGGCCGTAGCAGCAGAGGTCCTGAAGCTTGGGCATTAACGTTCTTGATGTCGGCCTCGTCCCCCGGCCTCAGTGGGCATGGCTGGTGGGGGCCTGGCTGACAGGTGCCGCCTTGCCCTCCAGAACCTGACTCGGGAACAAGCCGACTACTGCGTCTCCCACATGAAGCCCTACGTGGACGGCAAGGGCCGCGAACTCCCCACTGCTTTTGACTACGTTGAATTTACCCGCTCGCTCTTCGTGAATTGATCCTCTGCTCCTAGGTTAGCCTGGCCCACATCGCTTGCCCTGCCGTCGCCTTGCTGCATGTCAACTCATCTCTGTGCTCTTAAGAAAAATCCTCCAGACAGTGTTGCTTTCCATTGTAACCTTAACCTGCTTAGCTTGGGGTGAGACTTAGTAGAAAATGGTGCTTCAGTAAACTGCTCCTGGTCCAGTCGCCGGTGCCATGTTGCTGTGGGGACCCTCCTCCCGTCTTGAAGCCAGCTGCCCCATTCCGACTGCAGAAATATCTAAGCAGCTGGCTAGTTCCTCTTTTGTTCTCCCTCCCAACTTTCTGTTTCCGTGTAAAAGACAAATAAATGACTCCCCCAAAGCTTGTCGTGTCTTCATTCAGCTTCCATCAGAAACGTACAGCACAGATGTAGCCTCCCCCCACCTCAGGTGGCCACCTCTGCTGCCAGTTGGTCCAAGTCCTCTGTTTCCCGGGGTCCTTGTTCAGTGAACTTGCTGCTTAGCTGCCACACCTTTACCACGCCTTTGGCATCGCCAGCAGCCAGGAGCTGAGTCTGCTGATGATTGAATTCAAGACAGTAGACCGGGCTTTCATCCTGGGTTTGCTTGACCGAAACTGTGGGTTTCTGGGAGCTTTTCTGGAGATCAAACAGCTGCACATCACCTTCAAGGGGAGATTCATGGGGTAAGAGAGGCCCAGAGCAGCAGCCTCTTCACAGTTTCCTGTGCACAAGATCAGGCTGTTACTCAGTTCAGCTCTCCACCCCACACAAGGAAAGTCATCCTCACCCCACGTAGAGTCTCCCCAACCCAGAATTCCAGGTAAAGGCTGGGCGTATGTCAGCTTCAACGCATCCAAGCCTGGTGTCCATTTCCTACCTTCCCCAGAAGCAGCCGCAAACACCAAAGGGCGCACTGGGGACCAGCGCACAGCGAACAGGTACTTGTGGGACAGCTGCAGGGAGGTCAGGGGCTGGGCCTGCAGCATGGAGTACAGATGGACGTGGCCGTCGGTCCCTGCGCTCAGGAAGAGATTCCTAGACAGGATGCAGGGCAGACAGCCAGGCAGGGGATGAGCGCTGGGGATTCAGGTGCGGCCGGGGGCTTCCTGCCAGACTCCTCATGGGCTGTCAGGCTCATGAGAGGCCTCCCTAGGCCCCCAAACCTGGGGTCCTCCTCGAAAGTAAGGGGCCGATTACCTGGTGCCAGCCCCAGGAGCTCCGGATACTGGGGCTCAAATGCGGAAGACCTAGGCCCAGGGCAGACCGCAGGTCCTTTAAGCAGTGCTATGTGTGGCCTGGTGGGACTCCCTCACCCTCCCTGTGCCAGAGGCCCTGTGGCTGACGGAGGAGGCTCCGGCCCTCCCTACCTGTGGAAAGGGGAGCAGCTCACAGAGTAAACAGGGCCACCGTGGGGAGAGAAGGTGAACTGTGCCGGGGCCCGCAGGGGCACAGAGCTGGGCATCCGCGTGAGGGCGGGCTCCTCCGCTGCCAGGGAGCACTTGAGTGGGAAGCCGCCTTCCGTGCCCAGCACGAAAAGGCTTGGGTCAAAGCTGGAGAAAGCCACTGCTGTGGCACCCACCTCGGTCTCCCCCCGGGGAGGCTGTGGAGAAAAGAACAGCAGGGCAGAGCAGAGGGAATCCGCTCACGGTGTCCCCAGGGAGCCCAGGCACGTGCGTGGACGCTGTGGACCTCAGTGGCTGCCGCCTGCCTGCCCCCAGGCTCACTGGCTCAGGGGTCCCACAGCCTGGGGCTGCCTCCGGGGCCCATTTCCAGGGCAGCAGCCTCGCCCCTTCGTACCTTCTTCAGCTTGGTGCTCCTGGGGAGCTGCTGCACGGCCAGGGCGAAGCCCGCGCTGAGCTGCAGCCGGCCAGCCCCAACCGCCAGCCAGAGCAGCACCTTCCCATCAGTGGCCACGCTCAGCACCTGGAAGCGGTGGCCGTGCTGGGGGCCCGGGAGCCAAACCACCTGGACAACAGTGTGCAGGGCCGAGCTGAGAAAGGACGCCTGCCCCACCTCCCAGCAAGACCAGGTGTCCCTCCCCTCCCCCCTCGCCTTCTCTTCCAGGGAGACTTATGCGGGGAGGCCTGGGAGCCGCCTCACCCACCAGAGGGTTCCAAGGTCCCCCCAGTCCCAGCAGAAAACCAGGACAGTGGGGACTGCGGCTCTGATGGAAGGGGCGGGTGTGACTCATGGCCTGGGAGCTCTGAGAATGCCAGAGGCAGCTGTTCAACTGCCAGCTCCCTGGTGACCTCCTTCCTTGGCTGTGGCGAGCAGGCGCCCCCTCTCCTGCCCTGCGTCGTGGAGCAGGCCCGCGACATCAAGGCGCAGCCCGGGAGGACATGCTTCCCCACCCGCCAAGCATGCCGCTGCTCTGACCTGGTACACGGGGTCCGTGTGTGCGTCGTCCGTCAGGCCCGTGCGCCAGAGGAGTGGGTCCTCCGGATGGCTCACGTCCCACACCAGCACCTCGCCATTGTACAGCCCCCCTGCGGGACCAAGAGGGCCTGGGCAGGAGCCGACCCACGCAGCAGCCCAGCTTCCTGGACAAGCCCCCACCCTTCCCACCCACTCAGCGAGGACGTGGGGCCACTTTCTCGAAAACAGTCCTGAGGAAGAAACGCCCTGGTCCCCGGGCCTCACACTCCAGCCTGCTGTACCCCACCCCAGGAAGCTTCTCCCACTGCCAGGCTACCATCCCCCACCCAGCACCCTCCATTCCCTCCAGCTTCACCTGCCCCCTTTCCCCAACGTGCACAGCTCATCACCTCTGTCAACTCCCCCAAGGGTGCCTGCTTCGTCCTGCCTCTTGTCCCGACCAGGCCACACCTCTGCACGGCCCAGACCCCCTCAAGACTCAGCTAAGGACCTGCCGCCTCCTCCAAGCTCTGCACCCAGCACGGGCACCCCCAGCATCCTCACCTGAGCCCAGGGGTCAGGGCCACCTGTGGTCTCTGCTTCCCCCACAGACCTGCCCTGGCCGTGACCAGGGGCTAAGGGCCCAAGGGAGGGCTTTGGCCACCCTTTGCAGCGTGGGAAGCAGAGGCAACTTAGGCTGGTCGTCTCACCTGCAACGTGGGATGGCTGTGTGGGGTGGAAGGCCAGGCACATGACGGCGCTGGGCACCTCCACCACCGCCGACGGCTGCTGCGGGTTCAGGCCTCGCCGGTCCAGATTCCAGGCGCACACAAAGGACTTCAGCGTGCTCCAGTCTCCGTCATCCAGCCTGCACGGACGTGCCTGAGCTAGCTCTGCCCCTCGGCCTGGGCTTCATCCCAACCCACCCTGCCCGCACCGTGCTCCTATCACCTGACCCACCTTCACCCCTACCCCTAACAGGTGAGACTCTATAGCCCCATCACACACAGACACTGTGCTCGGTATCGAGGCGGCAGAGGCTCCTCTGAGGCACCCCGAGGGCATGAGTTTCTCCGGAAAAGGGTCTCCAGCTGGGCGAACCTGGGCATATCAGGAGACAGCTCTTGAAGCAGGTGAGGCAGGCCTGGGGCTCACTGCCCAGTGCTGGCAGGTGGGCACTGGGAGTCCCTTCTCGGTTCTTTTCCTGCCAACCTTGATGCCCAGGCAGCCTTGAGAAGGAAGACTCCCAGAAAGGCCAAGCTCTGGGCCAACCCCTTACTGCACAGACGGGGAGACAGAGGCTCAGACGAGGGTCTGAGGGCCTTCTACTGCCCCACACCCAGCCCTGCTGCCACTCACCGGCCATAGGCACAGGCCACCACAGAGCCAGTGGTGTTCCAGGAGACACCAGTCACATGCAGACCCTGTCCTTGGGCTGGGGGGTAGCCCAGGGTGTGGAGGCAGGTCACCTGCAAGAGACAAACCATCCCCAACCCTGAGCCCCAAAGCCGCCCAGCAGCGTAACAAAAAGCACACACAGCCTTGGGCCTCCCAATCCCTATAAGTGATTCAAGGCCACCGTCCAGCCCTAGGGGAAAGTGTGGAGCCTTCATCCCAACATCTCCCCTAACAGGATGCTTCCAGAAACCCAGAAGGAAGGGCCTTGGGAACTGAGACAGACTCCAGGCTCCAGATCAGAGCTGGACCCTGTACTCACATCTGTTTCAAAAGCTTTGGCTTCTGAGGCTGGATGGTGGTGATGGTTGCATGACAATGTGAATATACTCAATGCCACGGGATTGTACAGTTAAAAATGGTTAAAATGGTAAATTTTATGTTATGTGTATTTAAACACACACACACATTTTTTTTTAAACTCTGGCACCTTGTTTCTCAGGTGGCCAGCAGCAGCTAATGAGGAGGCCGGCGATGCCGGCCACGGCGAGGGATTTTGCACCACAGACACACTTTCCAGGAAGTATTTGTACCATAGACCAAAACTGTGAATAGTTTCACACTTCTTAACCTCATAACCCCATATAAAGAAACTATCCAATGGAAAGAATCCAAAATCTGTAAGAAGCTGCACTGTGCACTGCTAGTGAGAATGCAGAACAGTGCAGCCGCTGTGGAAAACAGTCTAGCAACTCCTCAGATGTTAGAGCTACCATATGGACCAGCAATTCCGCTCCTAAGTATATACACAAGAGAACTGGAAACACACGCTTGTACACAAATGCTCACAGCTCGATCCGTAATAGCGGAGTGTGGTATATCCCTACAACAGAGTGTGATTCAGCCATAAAAGGAATGATGCACTGATAGACGCTACAACACAAGGACCCTTGATAACACTCTGCTAAGCAGAAGCAGCCAATCACAAAGAACACTTGTTATATGACTCCATTTATATGAAATGTCCAGAAAAGACAAATCTACAGAGACAGAAAGTGGAGCAGTTGCCAGGAGGTGTGGGGGAAATGGGGAGTGACTGCTAATGGATATGGAGTTTCTGTTTTGGGGAGGTGATGAAAATGTTCTAAAACTGACTGCGGCAATGGTTAAATACCTCTGGAAATACACTAAAACTCACTGAACTGTATACTTCAAATGGAGAATGATATGGGATGTAAATTATATCTCAATAAATCTGTTATTTTAAAACAAAGCCATACAGTGGGGCCAGGAAATAGAGGGGGCATGAGAAAACCTTTGGGTATTTGATGACATTCCATTTCTTGATCTCAGTCCTGGTTCTACAAATGTTTTCACTATGTGAAAAGTATGGACTTGAACACTTGTAGTTTATGCATGTTTTATAAATTTAATAGAAGTTTATATTAAAAATAAACTATATACATAATGTATCATACATCATTTATAATTGCAATGATCAGTACAATTTAAAATCTAAAGATGAGAATGCAGAGGGATGGAAAGATGGGCCGTTCTCGGAACTTCCCTGGTGGCACAGTAGTTAAGAATCCGCCTGCCAATGCAGGGGACA